GTACGAGCGATCATGGGTGCAGGACTCGTGTCCGACGACGCCGCCACCGTCCTTCATGGCCCAGCTCCCGCAACCGTGGGTTTCCTGTCGTACTTCTGTCGCACCGCTTATTGACAAGATTCAGGGCCACGGTACAGGTCGATCTTACTCCGGTAAACATCGTCACGCCTCCAGCCACAGCTGTTCTCACCACGAGCAACCACGTCGCCCAGCCGTCGAGCACCTTTGCTGGTACCGGCCAGCTGCTGTCGCAGTCCGACTGCAGCAGTACGTCGTACACTCTCGTCAAAGCAGAGACTGTCGTATATTACGCGGCTTTTGTCGGCTGCGACGCTAGCAGACCGCAGTGTTGTCCATGGTCTGTATCGGTCGACGGGTCCGCCACGACAACCGGGGCTCTGGACGAGGGTAATCGCGTCGCCGGCGGACCGGGTCAGTTTCCCATCCCTGCCAACGGCATCCAAGCTCTTCTGAATCGGTGTCCGGACGATTATTACTCCGTGTCGAGCCAATGCTGTCCAAAGTGAGTCATACGCCACCGGAGAGACAAAGGCGGAAGCTAACTTGAGTAGCGGTTACTACAAATTCACCAGCCGTATCGCCTTCCAAACGCCGTGCTTCAGCTTCCTCAAGACGCCGATCAAGCCACCCGCACTGACCGCCGGTCTCGCTGGCAATCCGACAGATACGAACCTGCCGACGTCGGCGGTTGTCAACATGGCCTGGGCCATGGGCTTCAACGTCAGCGACGCGGCGCAACCTCCGCTGTCCAAGGGTGCCGCCATCGGTGTGGGCGTGGGTGCTGGAGTTTTCGGTCTGGGTCTCATTGCGCTCGCCGTTTTTGTGTGTCTGCGCGTTCGGCGGAATAAGAAGCAGGCGCTAGAAGGCGGCGCCGGACCCGGTCAGGCCCAGCAGCCGGGTATGGGGCAGGTTGCTGCCGCACAAGGGACCATGTATCAGCAGGGTTATCATCAAGCTGCCCCGGGGAGTCCGCCAGTATCAAGTCCACCGCTGCCAAGTCCACCGTTGTCGGATGGTGGTAGTGCTGGGGCGTATCCGTTCCAAGGACAATATGCTCCAGTCCCGTACAAGGGGCATTCTAGAGGATACAGCGACGTGTCTGAGGCAGGGTGGAGCCAGGGGAGTAGTGAGTACCCGACTCAGGGGTATCGGCAGGAAGGATATCAGGGGTATCAGGGGGGCCAGGAGCAGATGCAGTACCAGCAAGCGGGCCAGTATGGAGGATATCATCGAAGCGAGTTGTCGGGGGGACAGCAATAATGGGGAGGTAATGACCGAGTCCGCGTTTGAACGCGCAATGAGCATGATCTAATTAGTCCATAGTAATGTTTACTCGTGCCACCTGTTCAGAATACAAAAATCGAGATGGAACAGACATTCTCAGCAATCAAGAAACTTTCAGATGACGGGAACCTCACTGTCATCTCGACGCCAATTTCAGGTGAGCAGTTACCCCTTGCCATTGTTGTTCTACTAGGAACCGGACGCGCCCAAATTTCTCTTGATAGTCAGTCTCAGACAGGCTAATATGACGTCGCACAAATTCAATACAGCATCTCAATAAAAGCCAAAGCGGTCAAGAGTGCGAACACTGCGAGGATACGAGTTTGTAACACCCGACTCTCTAATATCCCCCTGTACGGAAGTAGACGACGTTGAAATAAGATTTTGGTGGCTGCCAGATCCCCGTCTCCCCACAAACACCATTATCGAGGTCCACACAAGCTGGATAAGTACTTAGTTCTATCCATTCCCTTTCTCGTTTTGAGACGAATCATTTTTCTCTCTCGAGATGATCTACATCTTCCCGTGTTAACGTTATGCAGGTCTCGTGACCGCATACCCAGCCCCTTCCTTCGCACGGGATGCATCAGGATTGGGTGCAGAAGCGGACAGGGGCAACCGAAGCAGCCGAGTCCGAGCGATCCCAAAATTGGACAAGCCCCCAAACTTCAAAGTGCGACCCCGATCTGACCATCTTTTTTTCTCTCTACTCTATTTCAACATCCGACGTCGATGTGTCCGGTCCGGCAGCAGCATGGCACACAGCTCGACGGAGCGGCTAGTGTCCTGGACGCACCAGCCTATGGCGGCGACGACATCCCCAGGATACAGCACCGACCACCGATGGCCCGAGGGGGGCGGGGCCGACGACGGACTGGCCCGGCCGTCGGACCCGTATCACTACCACCACTCGTCGCAACGTGGCGGCAACGGCGGCGTATGGAACCAGGACGGCGTCGAGATGGGGTATCTCGGTGCGCAGAGGTTCCCGGACGACCAGGTGAAAAGAGGTTTTCTCGGGGGGGCATCCAGCTACCAGCGGCTCGACTCGCCGCCGCTGGCCACACCCGGACTCTCGCCCGAAATCAGCAACCCGAAAAAGCGGCCGAAACGAACGTGTCTAGGCCAGCCATGCGCGTGGAACTCGCAGTGGGTCATGGTGGTGTGCTTTGTGTTTGGCGTGGCGTGCGCCATCGGCCACCACATCTTCTACAGCACGCTTCATAACCAGCTCGCCGTCGACCAGATGACGATGCAGCGGTACGGGACGCTCCTGGCCTTCGGCGCCAAGGCCGGACTGAGCGCGGCCGTCGGCGCGGCCTACCACCAGCGCGTGTGGGCGACGGTGCGCACGCGCGTCATGAGCGTGGCGGCGCTGGATGCTCTGTTCGCTGCGACCGAGGACCTCACGTCATTTCTCAGCTGGGAGATGGTCAGCGCCGCGCGCATCGCGGCCACGCTGGCCGTCTTCGTCTGGGTTTCCGGACTGGTAGTCATCCTGACGGCCAACACGCTGCAGGTCGAGATGAGCCGGCTGGTCAGCACCGACAAATGTCCCGGCATCCGCACGCTCAACTTCACCATGGAGGAGCTCGACGAGTGGCGCGCGCCGACGCGCATCGGCAATTACTTTGAGATCCCGGCCGTGTTCTGGAACACGACCCGGCGGCCGGGCGACAAGGATTCCGACACGGACTGGTTCGACTACTTCACCTCGCCCGGGCCGGCGCTCGCCCAGACGCTGACCATCGCCGCCTTCATGGGCGAGACGGTCATGCGGCGGAACGCGCAGGCCGAGACGTGCGGGAGCGGGTGGAACTGCACGTTCGAGATCCAGTTCGTCGCCCCGGCGTACAAGTGCACCGAGCTGGCCAGCGGCGTGGGCGCCAAGGCCGCCAACCTCACGCAGGAGTCGGGGAGCATCGCGCCGCCCTTCAGCATGGACGTGCTCGTCCCGAAAGGTCCCTTCACATACTACGCCTTCGCCACGGGCGGCGAGTACTCAACAACACAAATGCACGACGTCGAGCCGGGAGGCATCCCCAAGACGAACCGGCCAGACCCCAAGAACCTGGGCGCATTCCGCACCGAGCCCATAATCTGGATCGGCCACGCCATCCGCGCCGACCCGACCAAGCCGCTCCCCGCGACCTCGTCCTCGCCCGGCTGGTCCGAAGCTTTCATCCCGAAACTCTTCGCCTGCGAGAACTACGAGTCCGCCTACACGGTGACCTTCAACCTCACCGAGGGCGCCTCGCAGTCCACCAACGTGACCAGGCTCGACTTCCTCCGGCCCGTGATCAACACGACCTACCTCCCCGAGGTCGAAGCGCACGACAACACAGCCGACAACGTCACGGCCACGCCGGAGTCGAACTACATCTTCCCCTCCGACAAGCGAAGGTACAGACGCACCGCGGCCTTCCACGCCCTCGGCCTGATCGCGCGCTCCTTCGTCAACGGCACCCTGACCATCAACGCGCAGGACGCAAACGGCATGCCCCTCGCGAACTCGGACGTGATCCAGACGAATCTGCTAGATCTGGCGGATAACTACCTTCCGCGCGCGAACCTGATGGCGCTCGTGCAGGATTTCTACGCGCAGCTCGTGCTGAGCATGCTGAGCAACCCGCAGTTTGCGAGCGTGGTCTGGGCGGCGAGGCCGGAGACGCAGAGCGGGCTTCTGCCGGCGTTGACGGATGACGACGGACTGAAATATCCGTGCGAGCGGTCGAGGGTGGCGAATTTGTATAACTACCGCGCGAGGGATCTGTGGATTGTCTATGGGATTGCGATTTTGCTGGGCTTGGTTGCGGTTGTCGTTGGGTTCCGGGCCGTGAGGGAGAATCAGGGGGTTGTGATGGATACCAAGTTTTCGAGCATTGTGGCTGCGACGAGGGGGCCGGCGCTGGATAAACTTGCTTGGACCAGGGAGGAGACGGCCGGGAGGGTGCCGGTGCGCGAGGAGGGGATTAGGGGGGCTAGGATGGGGTATGGGATGGTCAGGCCGGAGGGGATAGCGGCGACGGGGGTGGATGAGGGCGGAGGAAGGGTGGCGCCGAGAGTTGGGTTTGCTTTTGAGGGGGATTTGGTGCATAAGGGTACATAGGCGTATTGGTATAGGGTTGGATTTTGCATATATCGTGTTAAACATGTTCAAACAGTCCAGGCCCTGATGGTTGTGCAGTTTGTGCTTTTGAGCCGGCTTGTTTGAGCATGGAGATGTGGAGAAGACGGCGGCAGATGAATCCTGTTCATGTTGCTCAGTCTAGGGTAGATAGTTCCGGAACCAAGTATCCAATATAACAAAACCAACAGGGCGGGTAGCGCAGTGGTCAGCGTATTCCTAAGCGTTTCAGCGTTGTTTTCTCTTGAATTTCTCAGCGTTTAGCGAAAGACCTGGGTTCGACTCCCAGCCCGCCCAAGCATTCTTTTTTGCCCCCCTTCTATCAGGGGAGAGGGCTATATAAACTTTCGACACGCTTGGCTGTTAAGAAAAGACGGGGCGGGTAGCGCAGTGGTCAGCGTGTTCCTAAGCGTTTCATCAGCGTTGTTTTCTTCACTTTCTATCCAGCGTTTAGCGAAAGACCTGGGTTCGAATCCCAGCCCGCCCAAACTTTCTTTTTTGATGCTGTTAACCCCAAGTGAGGGGGCTACATAAACTCGTTGCACACTCAACTGTTCACGAAACCACCGGGCGGGTAGCGTAGTAGTCAGCGCATTCCCTAAGCGTATTCCTTCCTAAGCGATTTCCAGCGTTGGCTTGTTCTCTTCTTTAAAAATAGCGTTCATTGAAAGACCTGGGTTCAAATCCCAGCCCGTCCAACTCCTGTTTTTTTGTTCCTTTAGCATCGAGGGAGAGGGCTAGATAAGCTCGTAGCAGCTTAGCTGCTATTAACAAAACTACAGGGCGGGTAGCGTAGTGGTCAGCGCATTCCCTGAGCGTTTCTCTTTCCTAAGCGGATCTCAGCGTTGATTTCTAATTATAGTATAAGCGTTTATTGAAAGGCCTGGGTTCGAACCCCAGCCCGCCCAACTGCTCTTTTTTTTGGAGGTCTTTTTTTGTTCTGTTAGCCTCAGGGGAGAGGGCTAGATAAGCTCGTTGAACACTTAACTGCTATTAACAAGCCACAGGGCGGGTAGCGTAGTGGCCAGCGCATTCCCTGAGCGTTTTTCCCTAAGCGGATTTCATTTCAGCGTTGATTTCTAATTATACTACAAGCGTTCATTGAAAGACCTGGGTTCGAGTCCCAGCCCGTCCAAACTCATTTTTTGTTGCCGACCATGGCGTCGACAGCGGAAACAACCACCAACTGTCGCCAGTAACAGGCCGCCCCCGCTAAACAGACACCCGCGCAAAGACTGAAGCTTCCCGACATCAAGGATAACCAAACCCTACCTATCCCAGTTACTTGTGAAAACGGAGGAACTTGGCCGATGCGTGTTCTAGTGCATTGTAGCACACGCGTAATAGCCCTGGGCTTGGCAACGGGAAGTTCAAGTAAGGTATATAAGGCGACGAAACTTTACCTAAAGGTTTCCCATATTCGTAAAAAGATGATTTTTTTTACCACGCCAATATTCTAATATTTAAATTTGCGTAAATAACTCCACCATCAAGTGGACAACCAAGATGATTCTCAATTCATACTGGCATCGGAGCAAGGTTAAGCCGATAATGCATGAAGACACACAGGCTCCCAACATCGGGCCGAAGAGGTAACTGCGCCTTCTCTCCCCGCTTCAAGATCTCTTGCCTTCTTTTCCGGACCTCACTTGCACCCGCTGAACCCGTCATAAAACCATCCAGCTTCGAAAGGCCATGAGTCAAGTCAGTCGATGGACAACCACGGCCAACGCGCACGTTTGCGCAGAATGCCAGACAATTCCGCCCGCACTGTTCGAGCCTGGTTCAAATGTCACGCACCGAATCCACCAAGGCCGGAATGGCGACGAGAATCTCGAGAAGAGTGCACAGGATGGCTGTCGACTTTGTATATCGGTTTTAGACGCCATCCGCGCTGATCAGTCTCTCGACGGCACCGGGCTCGACGATGGAGGTGTTTTATTGGCGACGACCTGGTCCGGTGAATCCCTCTTTCACACAACCAACCCTTCGCGCTACGACCCAACGCCGGCCCTCATCAATCTCCGTAATGCCGAGCTACAAGCGCTCTCGCGTGATCTTGGCGTCGTCACCGGGCCCCTTCTCGTCATCAGCTGGGCCACTTCGAAGCACCGCACTCTGCGGTTCAATGTGCAAAAGACGAAACCCGACGGATCGGCTACCAGCCCGCAGATGTACAAGACCACTTGGGACGACTACCGTCTTGACTTTTCCCTCCCAGACCATGCCGGCTTTGGCTGGGTGCGCGGTAGCCGATCGCTTCCATCCCAGCCCGTATCGACACTCCCTAATTCGCAGGAGACCTTCACATTGCTAAACAAGTGGCTGGACGAGTGCCAGGAGAGACATGGCTCGATTTGCAGGTTTGTCGGCGAGCGTGTCGTATCAGCCAACTTTGCATCTCCAGCACGTCTGATCTACTGCGGCAACCAAGGCCCGCTCTGTCTCGTTCAGGCTGCAGACCTTCCGCTCGATGGGGAGGGGATGGGCCCGTCGTATACAGCACTCAGCTATCGCTGGGGCAATCCGGCATCGCTGTGCACAACCACCAAGGCAAATCTGCAGGCGAATCTTTATGCCCTCAACTTTGACGGCTTGCCCCTGACCTTCCAGCACGCCATCCAAATCACTCGTGCCATCAAGGTTTCCTACATATGGATCGACGCGCTGTGCATCATCCAAGACGACGAGGCCGACAAGGCAAAGGAGATCTTTCGTATGGACTTGATTTACTCGACCGCCATCTGCATGATCTCGGCCTCTTCATCAAAGGATCCTCATGCCGGCATATTCTCACCTCGTCCTTCCACGGTAGACGCGCACCTACGCTCATTCACCTTGAGCAGCAATGGCGCAAAGAAGGGCAGCCTGTCTGTTACCATTCAGCCGTTCCTGGCAGATTGGGGTAATGCAATAACCAGCGGCTCGGTCTACCCAAGGGGATGGTGCTTCCAGGAGCGCTTACTGTCCAAGCGTATCATCTACTTCACAGACATGCGGGTTATGTGGGAATGTCGCTGGGCTGCCGCATCCGAAGAGTACGCCCAAATGGTTGACGTGCACTCCGCAGCCAAGATATTTTCTCCCAACCTGCCGCCACGTGTGTCCAAGGATCGAGTACAGGACATAACCATACTCCCAGGAGACCTTAGGAGAACCAGGCCATGGATCGAAGACTGGTGTCGAGTGATCCGGGCCTACTCGGGCCGGAGTCTCACGTACCCGTCCGACCGTCTTCCTGCACTGGCCGGGTTAGCAGCTACTTTTGGGCGGAAGCTTAGGAACCCCCAGGATCCGAACATGTCCACCTATTTGGCCGGTATGTGGAAGGACAGCCTGGCCATGCAGATATGCTGGTTCCCAGACTACACGTCACGTCCTTCTCCCAAGCCTGGAGATACGTGGCCATCACCGCTGAGAACGGCTTTCACCTTTCAGAACATTGGTTCCGCCGACTACCTCGACGACTGGCTGCCATCTTGGTCGTGGATATCCCTCTCCGGGCCCGTCCATTACCCCTACCCATCAGGAGCAATCGACAGCCCATCGATCAATGGTCGCATCCTTGGCGTGTCAGACAAGCCGGGTAACGTACTCATGAGCGACCACCCGATGGAGGTGACGGCGCTCACCATCATCTTCCCTCACCCACAGGTCAATGACAAGTACGGGCCCGTCAAGGGAGGATACATCAATCTGACCAGCTTCCTGGGAGTGGTCACAATATCAGAAGATTACCTGCTGAAGGAAGAGGACCTCCTGATACGTCCAACAACAACGGGAACGAGACCAAAATTATACTCAATGTACCCCTCGCCGCCGCCAACCAGCTTGTCACTGCTCGCGCGTCTGCGGCGGGAGGACCGGAGACGTCCGGCGTCGGCCGAGGGGATAATCTACTTCGACACCGACCCGCCCACGCTACCGGACAAGACAACGATACACTGCCTCCGGCTCGGCACGGGGCCGAGTGCCTTTTCGAGCACGTACGGCGCCGTCGACTACGGGCTGGCGCTCATGGAGGTGGACAACTCTTTTCAGCTGGACAGGAGGGGCGGGGTCAGGAGGGTGGACGGGTCGAGTCGGAGCGAGCGGTTCCCGAGGATGCGGCGGGTTGGGCTGTTTGAGGTGGATATTTGGAATAAGAAGTGGCGTGCTGAGGCTACTGTGACGTCTGTTGTTATTGTTTAGGGCTGTTCGGCGTTGCATGAGACTTGAGAGGGAGGGGCGAGGTTCAAACGAAGCACTGGTCGTATGTCGGAGCGATCCAGAAAGTGTAGGTGGTGGTTTTGAGCCAGGGACCACCTTATCGTGTTGTCCAGGGATATTGAATAGCAAGAGGGGGGGAATGTTTCGGAGGGGTACCTTACCTTGATAGGCAAGCCCGTTCGCGCTAGTTGGATCGCTTTTTTTCACGGACCCCTCGTTTCCTAATAAATTCCTGACGTGACGGCAACTTCTTCTCTTCTTCAACCAGCCACCCCCAAATGTCGAGTCCTCTCGCACTCATGTCTTGTATGGTCACCATTCGGCCTCCATCTGGCCAATAACCCTCCATGTCCGAGAAAAGTCACGAATGCAGTCGTCGGCGCGGGGCCGAGGGCAGTGATGGCTGCTCATGCGGGAATGCGAGCACGCAGCCTTGGCCGTCCAGTGTCAAGTACCTCTCACTGACGGAATGTACGCCGAGTATTGCGGCAGCCCTCACACACCTTGCCTCAGGGCCGGCAAAGCTCCATCAAGGCGCCAGCGACGGTCAAGCCCTACCATCATCAGCCTTCAAGACAGAACCGAGGTTCACCAACACCCTCTACGGACGTTTGGATGCCCGCGGAGCGGCAATCAGACTGCTGCGCATAACTCCGGGAGGTCCCACTGACCCCCTACACGGATCACTTGAGGTGGCCAACCTCGATCAGCCGCCGGCGTACGACGCCCTTTCATACACCTGGGCCGATGATCAAGGGGACAAGTCCCTCAAAGAGACGATATTTCTCGGTCAGCAATATACACCCCTTCCCATTACCTCCAACTGTAGCGCCGCTCTCCGCAACCTACGCAGGAGAGAAACGCAAGTCGTATTGTGGGTCGACTCGGTGTGCATCAACCAGTATGCCGACGACGAACGCTCTCACCAGGTCGGCCTCATGGGACGCATCTACTCGCTGGCCCGCTCCGTCATCATCTACCTCGGCGAGGACTCGTACCGGGGCAAAAGTACGGGCGAGAAAGTCATGGACCGCATTGACTACATCTGGCACGGCCAGCTATCGCTCACCGGATCCTACTGGGGCCAGGACAACCTGGACACGGATTTTGTCGACTTCTTCTCCAGAGCATACTTCTCACGCCTGTGGATCATTCAGGAGATTGCGCTTGCGAGGGAAGCCTGGGTGGTCTGCGGCTCATGGAGACTCAACTGGACCCTGTTTGGTAGCCACAACCTGAAGGGCTTGGAAGTGAGAAACTATATTCCGTCATGGATTCACCATGTCCTCGGCGGGCCACGAGATCGGGACCTGAAACAATTCGCCGAGCTTTTGATAGCCACGTCGGGATGCCAAGCCTCTGATGCGCGAGACAAGGTGTTTGGACTGCTCGGCCTGTCTCGCGAAGCAACAGAGTTGGCCTTGGTGCCAGACTATTCGCGCTCCCTCCGCGAAGTCTACATGGGCACCGCAGCCTTGCTTCTACAGCAGGGAGTTGCAGACCTGGTATTCACTGCAGCGGCCGCCAGCGACCGGTCTCTGGAAAAGGGCATTCCCGGTTGGGTTCCTCTATGGAACAACCCCATGACGGTTTCTCAGCAGGATCTGATTCAACATCTCATACCGCTGCTCCACTGGCTGTACTCCCGGCCAATACTTGAGGGGTTGGTTCCCATGTGGTTGAACGGGAGGCCACGCAATGCCTCGTTGTCCCGCAGGGGGCTTGAAGGGATGCATCTTCCAAGACACCCGTGGGACCCTTCAGAAGTGCACCTTCCAGCACACCCGTGGGACTACAAGCTGGATCTTCATATCATCGCTCCACGACATTTCCTTTTAACCAGTCAGAGGCACGACTCATCCGAGCATTTCCGAGTACACCACACAACCGGCGCATTGATCATCAAAGCGACAGCAGTTATGGTCT